TGGCCGAGCCCTGTATAGTCCGCGGGTACAGGGAGCCTGGCCGGACTAACAGGAAGTGCACACTCAGTGTGCACTTCCTGTTAGTCCGGCCGGGTACAGGAGACAGCTGCTCTCTGTACCCGTCGGACTATGCTGCAGTGAGGGAGCTGACAGGAGCGCTCCCTCCTGTCAGCCTCTCCTCAGGCTGCGCCCGGGCGGTGCGGTCCGCCCTCATGGAAGCACCGCCCGGGCAATGCTTCAGCCGCCTGAGGCTCTCTACAGAGCGCTTGGGCGGTTGCAGCATGGGGGGGGGCGGCGGGGCTGGTCATGGCACCCCCCACCCGGCTGGCACCCGGGGCGGACTGCCCCCCCCGCCCCCCCCTTAGTACGCCACTGACCTAAACAGGTTTGGGATATATATTATAAGAAAATTAGTAAGGTTGCATATCAATGTAAACAGACAGGCCTTATTATTTTTAATAATGATTATACAACTGGTACCATTAATTGGAAAAGGGGACAAATGTTAGTCATTATGAACGACACTGCGATTGAGAACTGTACACTATCTTATATTTTTACACCTTATTACTGTCCTTTATCCTCTACCATAGAACCAAAAGTCAACCACGACACACACACACCTATTCCGTCCACATGTGTTAATACAACTGCCTTCTTACAAGCTGTACATGTGTCATTAAAAATCACTACTCCTGTTGTAACAATATGTAACACAGCAAACAAAAGGCAGAAAAGGGAATGGTATGACACACTGTTAGGAGGTGCTGGAACCACTATGGGTATACTAAATAGTATAGACATGGAGACCCTCAAGAATAAGTTAAACATGGCCAGCATGCATATAGGGACTGGTTTCCATGCTACTGCAAACTGGGCTCCAACTGTTGTTAAATCACAGATTACAGGATTGGATTTAGATAAATCAATGTATAACTATTTAGGTAATTTAACTGTTGCAACTATGAAATTCACTACAGATCTTGGTAACTGGAGTACTTGTGCCATCAGGTATTTATGGATGCAACAACAAAGACTGGCATTAGAAGACACACTAATGATTCCTAAACTAGAGAAGATTAGAGGAATGCTTAACCTCACAGATAATGAATGGTTACTTCTGAAACCCCAATCCACTAAATGCAATGAATGGTTAACTGGTAATGTTTCACATTTTTCATGCTCATGCTATTTTACACTATATCATACATTATCAAAGGATGTTAAATTAGCTTGTCAATTTAACACATTACCAGTACCAGTTTATGATCTCTTTACCAGGAATTTAACCTGGTGGGCACCCACATACACAGGGGACTATATTTTCCCCAAAGATAATATGACCTATTCCCTTAAACACTGTGTTCTCACTGACAAAGGATATGCATGTCGACACTCGTCCCCTATTTATGAACCATGCTTACTCCAAAATGAACTTAACAAGTGCATATGGCACATATATCCTGAAAATTATTTTACCATGACTGAAATAAGCACACGACATATCTGTTTGGCAACTAATCTCCCTACAAAGATAATTACTAGTAATACAAGTATTAATCTACCTCTCCCCTTTTCAGGATGTTTGACTAATGTTACCTGGTTAGATCTTAATGACACCCAATATTATTTCAGCGACACAATCACTTTAGACAAACATATTAATGCCCTATTAGGCTCTCTGCCTTTTAAAGATTACCATCTACCTCTTGAGACTATTGTCTCCTTAATGAAAGGAAAACAAAATATGTTTAAACATCTTGTTACACATAATGATGCTATAGTACACACACAGGTAGCCACACATATCCTAAAAGGAGAACTCCTTAAGGTGAGTTCACAAATTCAGAATGATTTAGCCCATCATTGGTACGATGCTTTTACAGGTTGGTCCCCTACTGGATCCCAGATAATGAAATCATTCTTCTATCCTCTTGTTATTATAGTCCTGATTGTATTGGGTATGATTTTATATAACTGCCATCTTACTTGTACATTGAGGAAGAGAATACAGAAATTAATCCATAATGCAGAACAGAAACAATTGGAAATTCTCCTCTCTGCCACTGGAGGCTATCAACCCATCTGTAAAACTGGGCCTTAGGAATTACCACATGGGAATCGAGGTGAAGAAATTAATGAAAGTCCCGCAGGGAGTGACTAGCACCCCTGAAAATACCATGTGGAAGTTTCTCTGACCTGGGAAGATCTTATCAATGATATGAGCAAGTGTATTGCTCAAAGAGGGGGATGTAAGGAAGTGAAATGGTTAACTCTTTTTGCTTTATATGCTTTAAAATAATGTTTGAAATAATTATGCTGACTTTGGCAGATGTATTTTGTACCAAGGTCTTTCCTCTACAGGATGCAGTGGTGTATCCTGGTTTTGTGCTGCCCTAGGCAGGACAAAACTCAGACGCCCCCCGCTCCCCCAACCCTTCCCCCCGCCCCACCTTCTAAATACACACACACAGTAAGACACAAACACACACAGTCAGACACATACACAGACACAAACACAGTCAGACACATACACAGACAGTCAGACACAAACACACACACACACAGTCAGACACACACACACACAGTCAAACACACACACAGTCAGACACACACACACACACACAGTCAAACACACACACAGTCAGACACACACAGTCAGACACACACACAGTCAGACACAAACACACAGTCAGAACAAACACACACACAAACAGTCAGACACATACACACAGTCAGACACACAGTCACACATACACAGACACAAACAGTCACACACACAGTCACACACAAACACACTCAAACACACACACAGTCAGACACACACACAGTCAGACACAGACACAGTCACACACACACACACACACAGTCAGACACACAGTCACAAACACACACAGTCACAAACAGTCACAAACACAGTCAGACACACACAGTCAGACACAAACACACACAGTCAGACACACAGTCACACATACACAGACACAAACACATACACAGTCACACACAGTCAGACACAAACACACACACTCAAACACACAAACACAGTCAGACACAAACACACACACAGTCAGACACACACACAAACACACACAGACAAACACACAGACACACACACACACACACACAGACACAAACACACTCATTAACTCCTTACCTTTGGGAGGTTGGTGGTCCGGTGGTCCAGTGGCTGCAGGTCGGGCGGGCGGCGCTGGCAGCAGGCGGGCGGCTGGCGAGGGAGCTCTTCCTCTGAGCTGGCTGCTCAGCTCCCTCGCGCGCCGGCTGCAGAGTGAGGCTGGGAGCCGGAAGATGACATCATATTCCGGCTCCCAGCCTCACTTTGCGGCGCGCGAGCGAGCTGAGCAGTCAGCTCAGAGGAAGAGCTCCCTCGCCAGCCGCCCGCTGCCAGCGCCGCCCGCCCGCGATGTCTGTTAGCCGCGAGGCTAACTAGGCATTTGCCCTGGGCATTTGGGGGGCGGCGTTTTTTGCCGCCCCCTGAAAAATGCCGCCCAAGGCAAATGCCTTGTTTGCCTCGCGGCTAATACGCCCCTGACAGGATGTATGACCTTCCTTGACCTTAGGATGTTCCTGTCTCGTCTTCATCCAAATGCTTATCTTTTTCATGTCCGACAAGTATGTACTATTAACCACAAGGACACTATAGACTTCACTGCTTGCATGAGAAACTGTGTATAAATGCTAGCCCTGAAAATATACTCATTGAGAACTTGTTAAGCACTCTTTCGTGTCTGTGTGTCTTATTTGCTAAACAAGAACTCCCATCAATTGATGTGGTGATCGAAGGAGCGAGAATCGAGGGGAGTTGAGTCCAGAACAGCATTTATCCTTTCACTCTGAACAAATTGATATATAATAAGTGTGGGGCACTTAGTATTAGAGAGGTAAATTATGGTTGAACAGACATAACAGCCAAATTCTGTGGTTTGTTTACATTTTGTTTTGATCATAACTTGTACATTTGGCTCAGTCCTTAAGGGGTTAAAAAGGCATTTTATTATGAAATATTGAAACACCCACATGGCTGTTATAACTGCCAGTGAGGTTAGCTTCCAGCTTCTGTTAGCTCTCATCAGCTAACATAAGTGCCAGGTGCACTGTACTTGAGCTTGTCTGCCTACCCCAGAGCATTCCTCCTTCTCAGACATAAGAAAATCACTACAGTGGTCACGATGTTTGGAATAACCATTACAAATTTATTTAGTTATATCCTGCCTCATTAAATAGTTTTAGAAAAAAGCAATCCTACTACAGTAAACAACATAGTTTGAGTGGTTGTCTGTAGACTGTCGGATATCATAAACCTGTTACTCCCAGTGGGAACCCATTAAATAATATTAGGGGACAGAATTTGAGGTCCCAACCGAGGGGTTAAGAATCACTTGATTAAGACTTTCATGGCTGATGTGTGGTCAGAATTGAGGTCAACGTTTCCTCACCTCTTTTTAGGAAGAGGTAAAAAATAAATGAAAAAGTCACAAAGTGACAATTTTTAAACTAGCTTGTCCAATTCAGATTTCTGTATGCTAATATAAGGGCACAATATTTCAAGTCCTGAACTACTAGACAGCCCAAAAAGTCACCCACCACGGCAAGCCTAGAGAGTACATGACAAACACAACGCATGAATTACTACTCGCCATGGTAACATTTTCACTTGCAAGTATTTGGTGTGTGAGTGGAAAGGTGATCCCTGCAGTAGGATGCATGATTCGGTGTCAGATGTGAGCACATGCTGCTGTCCCTATATTTATCCTCTACCATTATTTGTCTGCCAAACATGTTGATGGCCCATTGTTGTGTGTGATATTCAACCTCTATACACGCCTTTTCCGATATCATTCAGTCTTTGCCTTCACTTTGCAAAAGGCAAAAAATAATAACACTACATAATCTGAGCCTTACAGTTCTATGTTTACCTTCCACCTCATTGCCCTTAAATATTCCACTTAAAGTAACACTATAGTCACCAGAACAACTACAGCTTATTGAATTAGTTCTGGTGAGTAGAATCATTACCTTCAGGCTTTTTTGCTGTAAACACTGTCTTTTCAGAGAAAATGCAGTGTTTACATTACAGCCTAGTGATAACTTCACTGCCCACTCCTCAGATAGGTGTTAGAGATCCTTCCTGGGTCACAGCTGCCTAAAATGCATCCAAACGTTCATTGTCTTCACCCTCTGCGTGCAGACACTGAACTTTCCTCATAGAGATTCATTAATTCAATTCATCTCCGTGAGGAGATGCTGATTGGCCAGGGCTGTGTTTGAATCATGCTGCCCCTGATCTGCCTCCTTGTCAGTCTCAGCCAATCCTATGGTGAAGTATTGTGATTGGATCAGGCTACCACTTCTGATGTCAGCAGGCAGTGGGCAGGTCAAAAGTAAACAGGGACAAAGCCAGCAGCTTTAAGCTTGAATACAAGTAAGATTTTATTATATTTATTGAGGCCTGAGGGGACCAGGGTGGCTAGATGGTGGTTTTAACCCTATAGGGTCAGAAATACAGGTTTGTGTTCCTCACTCTATAGTGCTCCTTTAATATTTTATGCACTGGACTCTCTTGCTTCCCCATTTTTGTTTTTTCTTGCTTCTGTTTTCATTCTTATGAACCCCCAATATTTTAGTTTAGCTTGAACAAGTTGTATAAAGTTCACTCACAAATAAATCCAGAATTGGTCAAGCACAGGTAAGCGGTAAGAGCCTGTGTTGCAGATATTAAGGATGGTGTTGTCAAATAATAATAATGAATATTCTTCAATTGTATATATATTTTCCACATACTCTCTCTAAATCATCTCACACTTTGCATTGTGCTTTTGTAATTTCTGTACCCTCAGTCACAAATACGGTTATTAAATATTTTGCACAGATACCAGGTCTTCACCCTTGAACCACTTTTTCTGAGATGGAGAAGATATTCAACCAGATTTCTTTAATTTTGTTACTAGATTATTTTACTATAATGATACTACCATTGTTACATATAGTTTACTACTGTAATATTTTGTACTTGATGTTACACGTAGTTATTAATAATCTGGCCGATAGAAATGTGGTTGCCAAATACTTACTTGTTTATAGCAAATGGCTAGCCTGCTCCATCCCCCCGTCACCCATGCTTGCCACTCCCAGCTGTAAATGCCTTTTAAGTAACTGTTTTAGCTCTTTTCCTTAGCCCCAAGTCAC